TATATGTGTGTATATATATATATATATATATATATATATATAGTCTCGGGAACGTACGAACATTGTGTTAGGGTGCAGTAGTATAATTGAACGGTTTGTTATAGACACTAAGCAAGCACCTAAGTGTGTCCATTTATGTGGTCCCGACACACAGCTGAAAGTCTTCGAGAAACCATGCAGAGAGCACCACGCCCGTAACGTCCTATGGTGATTATACGATGGCTGATCGCATATCTACGTGTACAGACGTATTTACATATATACATACTTACATACATACATACATATAGCAACAATCACACACACACCTATATCTACGTCTACAGACGACATGCATACATACATACATACATATAGTAGCAATCACACACACACCTCCATGAGCTCACAGATCTTCTCGCGGTCATTGCACCCCAGCATGCACCCAAAGGCCACGGTGAAGATACAGGTTTCACGCACGTCACTGTCCAAGGCATAGTCCCTCTGCATGGTATCCATGTAGCTGGAGAGAGAGTTATACAACGCCTCGCGTGTATGGTCCTCCAAGTGAAGGAAACACAGCTGCAACGCTTCCATAGCCCCGATACGCTCAGCGGTACTGGCGGTGGTGTTCTTGATGCTCTTGATGATGGTCTGGATGAACTCGGGTCTGGACAACAGAGTGGAGTGGGTTGTATTGTCCGATGGGGAAAATGAAGGTTAGATACACAGTGTGTATATACGGATAACACTGTTTGGAGGATGATTATGGAATGGACAAGCGTTCAGGTAGGATACGTCGTCTGTTGTTGAGCTTGTGAATGGCGTGGTTTCTCATAGTGGCGAGAGTACACGCAGCATATTGTATATATATATATATATCTATATATACATATCTATATATATATATATATATACATATACATGTATATACACATATATATATCTACATATATATAAATATAAATATATATATATGTGTGTGCGTGCGTGTGTTTATATGTGCGTGTATGTGTTTGTGCTTATGTTTAACTTATGATGACATACTTCTCTTCCAGATAAGCCTGTGGGTGGCTGTGCCGCAAGTACCAGACAATGGATTCGAGAGCCTCTTCTCTCACCTCCGTATGTTTGAGTCCGAGACTTTCTAGATGATTGTCTAGTGCGTCTTCACCGGGCAGGAAGGAGTCATCTATGGGGTGTATAGTGGGTATGCACCGTTAGTCGGTAGATATAGTCGGTACGAATTGTCGTACTGCAGCGCGAATGCAACAGTTTATGCGAAGGCCAAAATCTGACAGTGATAAGTCAGGCCTCGAGAACAGTCTAGTTTTGACTTATATCGATCTCCATCGTGAATGTATACCGTTCCAGATACACTATAGTGATAATGGGGAGCAATATGCAGTGGACAAGACACAAACTATGCAGATTCGTAGAGGTACAAGTTATGTAAAAAACAAAAAAAACAAACCTGTGTATTCAGTTACAGATGGCAAAAATGTAAAAGCGACTCTGAAACTGGTATATGTATAGATGCAAGTATGCCTATGTTTAAGCAAGCAATAATTGGTATGCAACAAATAGTATTCATTTGTTAATATGCAAATATAAATTTATATTTAAATATATATATATATATACTCACGCACGCAAGCACACAAACATATATATAAATATGTATATATAAGAATATCGATATATATAGATATAGATATATATATATGTATATATATATATATATATGTACATATATACCTTTACATATATATATATATACATATATATATATATATAAAATGTGTGTGTGCGAATCAACATATAGATACATACATATGTTAATACACACATA